TTTGGCTTTTTGTAGGTGATGTCTACCTTATGTAGAAAAATTATGACTTATTAGAATGTCCATGGGTCTTTAATTTTATAGCCCACGTATTCTACAAGGCCCAGGCACAATAATTATTACTTTAAACGATTTACCTATTAGCATGGTCTGGCTAAGTATTTAATTTTGGGTAAGAGGTGGTGCTTCCTTTGTTGAGTGATGAAAGTATCTAGAAAAATTATACTATTTTGTAGTGAAGTAATGCCAAGTATCATGATGTAAACCTCCACTACAAAAGGAGGTGAATAGAATTATTTACTGTTGTATGCTTTAGATTTCACAGATCTTATAGACTGTTCCATATTTTGGTTGTTAAAGTTCCTCTTCCTAATGTAGGAGAAAGTAATTACATCATATAGCTGTTTATTTTGTTTCATCATATCAGGTATATGGTTTGTTGACTTCGCCTGTTTCTTTCCTATATTTACACAGTTTGGACAAGTTGGTGTAGGTGACAACATAGATCATTGCTCTCCTGTGCAAGTTAGATTTCCACTTGATCAGGCACGTTCCTTTTTAATACTTTTACACCTCTGGTATTGATTATATGTCCATTTACTCTTGCACAAATAACGGCTCTTTTTCTGTTTGAATATTCATGTTTCTTCGGATGACAGAAAGTAGTTCAGATATCTTGTGGTTGGAGACACACTCTTGCTGTTACTGAAAGGCAAAATGTCTTTTCTTGGGGAAGAGGCACAAATGGACAACTTGGGCATGGGGAGTCTGCTGACTGGTAATGCTACTGATTGAAAATTTGAAACTAGCAAGTCCTAGACATATCATTTTTCCTCCTTTCCTTTTTGGGCTTTAAAGGTGTCAAGAACCAGGAATCTAACTGGTCAATGATGGGAACATAGAAAAGTTGGGTACGGATTGTAACGTATACAGGGTGCTAAGAGTCCTGATTAAGAGTTACAAATGTAACAGAAACAATGTAAACTCTATGAATCATTACCACTTGCTATAAGAATATTAAACAAGAAGAGGCTTTTTATTAGAATAATGCTGATATTAATCAAGTACGTATCCTTCTTAAGTAAGTTTTTAGTGCAGGTCTCAAATCAAACACAGAGTGAGATAAAGTCATAGTGAAAACAATTGGAGAGAAAAAGTATTTCAATTTGAGGAGAAGAAACAACCATATTGTACAAACTAGAATGTAATCAATCTTATCTCAAGCTTACAGGGATTTTATGTTTGTTTTTTATTTTCATTGTTGTGTAATATGTCATATTTGGGTTGTATATAGATGCCATGATTCCTTTTGCTAATTCTGATTATTTAGTTTTATTGTTATATGCAATCCCAATGTAGCTTGGTGTGGAACCTTTGTTTAGCTTCACTTGAGGTTGTTTTAGTTATTTCTTCCCCTAAAACTTAGAAAGACAAGACATAAGAACCTTTGTTTAGCATCACTTGAGGCTGTTTTAGTTATTTCTTCCCTAAAACGTAGAAAGACGACATAAGGATAGCTGATATGTTATTGCAGCACTCAGGACTGTTCCTAGTACCAAACCCATTTGCTTAGCCCCTGATGATATGGTACCCCATATAGATGTTTGTAAATGTGTGCTATGAGTGTGGAGAGGTTAGGGGATTTGATTACAAGTGTACACAAAATCCTAAAGTGAATTAAGATTACGTTTCTGATAGGTTTCAGATCAGTATCACAGAGCTTCATAAGCCTAGATGACGCTGGCTTGGACATCAGGAATTTTCATTATATGTTATGTAGTTACCTGTGCCATGAAAAAATTTCAAGGAAAACTGGATTGACACTTATTCCTGTAAACATTCCTCTGACGTATTCTTTTAAAGCTATAGGTGAATCTTTCGAGCTAAACAGCTATTATAATTGTAATTTGCCTCACAGAGAATAGAAGCTTGTACTCTCTTGCTGGTTGTTTACTTTATCTTCCTTGCTGAGCGCAAAGCTTCAGGAAACCATACATTTTGTGTCTCTTATGGTTTTGGGGAAAACATTCTTTTGCATGGCTTGTAGAGGGGATAACATAAAAGTGAGGAGGTCTTACAACTTAAGGACTTTACTCATGGCAATTCACTTGTCTTTTGTATGCTTTCTAGCTTTGTTAGTTTATTCTATTTACTGGACAGAGCTCCATGTGCAAAATAACTCCTTTTTGTCATTGGCTTATGCTGCTAAATTTGAACATTGAAGCAATGTTCCCAAGATCATAGAGGCTTTGAGTGTCGATGGATCCACTGGACAAGTGATAGAGAGCTCAAAAGTTGATCCATCCTCAGGTGTGCTTTTGAGTTCTTGTGGTTTTAGTTTTTATTAGGTTTAGACATAATGGTAGTTTCATGTTCTAAAAATTGCTTTCATGTTTCTTTTGAGCAGAGAAATTTTCGGTCTCACCCACTGATAGATATGCAGTTGTCCCTGATGATAATGTATGTATATTCTGCGAAAGTTGTTCTTCTCTTTGTAATGCTGAAATTGTCATGTTAGCATTTTCGTTTTACCACTTCTCAACTATGTCGTATCCTGGGGTGGGAATGGGGTTTGTTGGTTGAAGGATTTGTGTTTGTTGAAGCTTGTCTTTGAGTTTGAATTAGTGGATTTAGATTTGGAGAAAGATTTCAAACTAATCAATGTTAGATCATCATTAATAATGCTTTTGATGAAACAAACAGGTTGCTTGATGGATAAAATTCTTCTTCTAGATAGAATAAATTGAGAGATCAATGCACGTTAAGATGTCAGATAGTCTTCACACCAATAAAAGCTTTTCTTGATATGGAAGTACCTGGATGGGTACATACAGCTCCTCATACCATTTTGTGGGTGAAAAGGTTATGTTTGCATTGTTATATAGTTGTAAGTGCATGTATTCTTGCATGTGAGGATGCTCATAACTATAATTTGTTGCTGTGTGTTTTGGTGGAGATGTGAATGTTCGCTTTTTTTTCTGGTGGGCTTGGGTGATTTTATGTGAGAATGTTGATGAGCATGGATGTATGGTGAAGTGGGGTTGTGCTATGTGAACACTGTTAAGTGTTAGTTATGTGATTTACATGTGCTCATAATGATTTTTGTGGCTGTAGGTGTCTGTAGGTTAATGCATCTCTTTTTCTGCAGCAGGGTGTATGGGTATGTATAAATCTTTTTATAAGTGGCATGTCTCTGTGACTAAGCAACTGTATGAGCGGGTAGTGGGTGGGTGGGGCTTTTTATGGGTATATGCGTGGGTTTATGTGTCTTGGAAGTTTCCAATAGTAAATTGGGTTGATATATAACCTGTGGAAGGGAGCTTGAAATTCTTTGGATCTATATATGAGAGCAACATTTTCTGTAGAGATTTCTGGTATGGGGCTGAAATCCGTTGGAGTTCAAAACTTTCTGGGACAATCAATTCAAGTGCATCATAGGTCTTTGGTGTTAAATTTTTGTCGTAGATTGTTTTATATTTTACAAGACATTGTATATAACGGAAAGGACCATACTCATTGTTTTGAGATATTTAATACATTTGTCTTGATGTTCACTCTTAGATAGGGAACCTGTGTGCATGATCCTTCGAGGAAAAATAGTATACTAGAAAATTTTGCAAATTGATAATCTGGTGGAAGAACAAAAATTTGATCGTAACGGATACCGAAAAGGAAGAGCATTCTTTCATTTTTTATTTTTTTTTGAAAACATATGCAGAAGTTGCAACGATGTAATTGAGGGTCTATTTATGTCATTTTGATTCATCTTCAATTTCGTTTTTCCCTAGCTGCAAAGTCAGACAAGCACATTGCTAGGTGGCAATGGGAGTGATGTAAATGTCCCTGAAACTGATGTGAAAAGGATTAAAATGTGAGCTTGTCTTCTATCCAGCATTTGCTCTGGACTTATCAGCATGGACTTTTCCATTTTTGGAGAACTCAGGTGCTGTTCTTTTGGTCCATAAAGTATTTGACTCCTATAGGCATTTTGTTTGGTTTAAGCTACCAATGATGTGTTTGGTTATCTGTGTGGCTCACTGTTTACCATATGTATAAGGTTTGATGAAACTTGTATCTACAAGAAACAAGAAGGGATTCACATGGCTTGCATATCCTTCCTTAGGTACAAAAGATTGAGTGTTTTACATCTCCCTATTTCGTCTTGGTTGTATGCTTGATTGGTGTTTATGTCTCCTTAATATGTAAGAAGCAAGTGGGAAAAGACTTGTCAATTATCATATCTGATAGTTTTATACATCCCGTTCCCTTCTCATCATTGCTGACTTTGTCAATTCATCCAACTGTTGGAATGTATCTTGCTTCATGAAATGATGTCAATGCAACCATAAGGAATGCTCTTAAAATTTGAACTTGCAATAAAAAGGGAAACTGATACACAAATAACTTGAAAAGGTTGATACTCTCTTTTTTTCCTTTTATAACAAAGAAGATTTTGTTACTAAATTTGCTGGAAAAGTTTCTTATTTATCATTTCTGATAGCTTCATAATCCAGTTCATCTTTTCTTTTTTTTTTTGAGGGTAAAACATGATTACTGCTACCTCATTGCTGATTTATAACGTACTAGGAGAGATAAACCGCGCTTCGCGCGGTGGACTACAAAACGTAAATGCCCATAAAAGAATTAAAATTATGTAAATAGTAGTTGGGATTGCTGATAAGTAATTTTAGATACAAATTAACATTGAAGTTATACATATCGATTAACAATAGAAAAGTGTGGGATAAATGTAACAAGATAATCCGGTAACCGAGTTGTTCTCTTGTTTTGGAAAAGGAAATATCGTTACAGATACAAGAGGATTTGAAATTTGCAGAAATACTATACATTAGATGTGAAATGTATAATGCCATAGATACATGATTTCTTTTCGATCCCATGACCCTACTTACCCTAGTTCCCTAGTTTAATGCATAAACCGCGTATTAGCATAGTGCGGGAAAAAAATGCAGATGCCCAGTGTAATAAAATGATTTGTACATATTCAAAGTGGATCCATTTAATGGAATTGTTTGTGTCTGATGGAATTTAGTTACAGATTAACCAAAAAAAAACCTATAACAATTTCATGATAAACTAATTACATTGGCATAGAGCTTGAAACGCACAATGCATCTTTCCCCTATCCAAAAGCAATTTTGTTTCTGCTGTCCCCATGGCAAGATTTGCTAAGCTCTCCCGTGACAACCTAATCATGAAATTATAACGATAAAATCTTAGTATATATTCCATTACAGTTAGCAATGGATCTCGTCACCAATGCATGGAAACTGAAAATGGGTTAGGAGACATTGATTGATCCCAAAATAAACAAGATAACCTCGACAACTTTAAAACTTGTAATAGTCATACAAAATCTTAAACCAGCTTTTCCCCTCTTAAGAGAAGCATGATATATATTCTGTCCATTATTAAGTATCAAAGAAATGAGAAATAAAGCATCCTATAAGTTGTCAAGTTAGAGCAACTTGCATGGTAACTCATAATTCCACCAAAGCAGATAAATTAGCTATTCTGCTATTTCCAAAAAATTGAACTTAAAAGAATTCAGAATGCAATTTATTGCAGTATGGCCATCCATGTATGTCACCCAAAGGAAGAAATTGGAAATAGGTTAACTGGCAACAAATGATTCTAATCCAAAAGATAAATCCGACAAGTGCTAACTCCAAAATATCCAAACATGAAACTCATTCCGTTGTCGTAAAAGTGAAACATTGAAATAGCAACTATATTATTATTTTTTTTGGAGGAGGAGCAAGGAAGGGGCAGAACACAAAGTCAATGGAATGATCCTGAAATGCAAAAACAAAGTGGAAACTTATTCATTATAGGGAGGACATCTTTTTGTTATGTTAAAACAATACTCCATTCCAAAAGTTAGAGGGGCATTGACATGTAAGTTAGATTGCATAGTTGCTTTTATCCTTGGAGAAGCTCTAGATATTCTCATCTAAGAATAATGTGTCTTCTAGATCTAAAATTTAAAATCTTTTGTGACTGAAAAATTTAAGGTTTGATAGCTCAATTCTTCATTTAGCATATGATAAGAAGTATTAAGAAACTATAAATCATGAAGGGATATTTCTGTACCTATAAAGGCAAAACCAAGGTTTGTATAGAAGCCTTTATAGGGAAATTTTCTATGCTATAATAATTGAAACTTAATATTTGACACTTAATAATTGCTAAGGTTTTTCAGACTCCAGAAACACAGAACAAATGCAACTGATCATAAAGAAGTCCTATACTTCTAATCTTCAATTGAGAAAGAAAAGGAAAAACACAGAAGAGAAGGAACTGTATCGAGTCCTATACCTCAAGATGAGTGTATGCTATCTAAGCCAATTCTTGCTTACGTGAAACTGCTGCTTTCTTAACTTCAAAAAGAACTACTCAGTGCTGTATCCAATGCTCCCCAATTGATTATATCCTCTGGAAGGCCCATTGTAGGATTCAAAATCCAATTTAGTAAAATCACTTGTCAGGATTGTCGCATTAAGTTTCTGCTAAGGAAAAATATTCATGTAAATCAGGCGAAAATAGAGGTATAACGAAGTTTCATGTATTCATGTTAAAAACAAGAAATGGAAGTTATGAGCCAATCCCATAAGCCAGCCTGAGTGAATTGCTTGGGGATGGTAACATCTCCCATGGACATGGAACTACTAATATTGCCCGATGCCAAAATGCACTACTCCAATTACATCAAACAGATCCAATAGTAATACAAAATGATAAGGTTAACAGAAACCAATAGTGATACAAAGTAATTTAAAAGCTTCCATTTCAGTGAAGGTTTTCAAGAACAAGACAAAGCTTTTCTTTTGCTATACAGTTTGGAAACTGCAAATACTGATAAATCAGAATGTAAATATTCAAATCAAGAATAATTACAGCAACTATTAGTTGAAGTCCCAATTAGATAGAGAGAAGTCCTTTCAGCGGTATATTTGCACTCTAAAACAATGTCAATATGATTCTTTAGAAATTTGCAGATGTTTAGTGCACTTGAAACAATAATTCAAAATCAACATCTGGCATTGCAGCATAAGAAACACATAAGATGTCCAACCTTTGGAAGTCCTCCAATCCCAAATGCAATATCCAAAGCAAATGAAGCTGTGGACACAACTGGAACTTGTTTGACAGGGGCAGAGCGGCCAAGCCACATGATAGAACCTTGGAAGTCCTCCAATCCCAAATGCAATATCCAAAGCAAATGAAGCTGTGGACACAACTGGAACTTGTTTGACAGGGGCAGAGCGGCCAAGCCACATGATAGAACCTTTTCCAAATGATGCAGTGATCTGATAGTACTTGAGCACCAAATCTTTCTTTGACGTTTGACTTGGATTTTCTTCTACCTTCCATACAAAAAAAGACTTATATTCATAATGAACCAATGAAGCCAAAAAAAACAATTGATATTTTTCTATTGCAGAAAGAGCAAAATGTAGGTACTCTCAAGCAGGAATAACACAATCCCAGCCAAATGTAAAAAATATCAAACTCAACAAATTTCAGCAAAAGAGCTATACTTAAAAGAACTCATCTAATTCAAAGAATCACATGGGGGAAAAGGGTCAAGTGATTTTTACATTAAGAATGATGCATTTAATGTTAAAATACTCTAGGAGGGAGGTACAAGGCTAAAATATGGTAATACACTTGCATACTTTGGTGCTTTATAATTTTTTAGTGAACAGAAAACCCCAAAATATGGGGGAAAACATGCAATTGCCACATTAAATAAACAAGATGTTTGAAGTATTCAAACACTAAGCAAATATATGTATTAGTTTTAATTGGTACTGGGAAGGGGCTAAAGCCTAAAAAGATAGACTTTATATGCAAAAGTTATTTTACTTTATCTATTTTTGAAACCCATCAAAGTGATCACCAAGTTAAGAAGGTATGAAGACCAAATGCAAGTCAGTTCAGCAGGAAAATAAACTTCGGGTACCTTTTGGAGGAAAAGTAGGAGAGTTGAGTGTATGCCCCTAACAAGACTTTCCTATAAAGTCTGCATCAACAAACAACAAATTCATGTCATGACTCGTGAAGAAAATGAGAAACAAAATAAAAAAAGAAAAGCAGTACTAACTGAAAAATGATGTTAGAAAACGTATCAAACAAAAGACTTTTTCTTTATACAGTATGCAAGTTCAATAATTTTAAAAACAAGGAACAACTTCTGCAAGCTAGCAAAGTAAAGCATTTGGCTTTCGTAATTGATAGGAAATAATATTATAATCATTTATTCGCAGCTTCCAACTGCTAATAACAAGTATAAACACTATATTACACCTATAACTTCAAAAGAATAGTACAAACAAGACAAGGTAGCGTAAAAATGTTGAAACTCAACAAAGCTGTGAAAAACATATTTGAGAAAAAGCTGAAATTTTTTTAAAAAAATGCTTCAAATTTCTACAACGGGCCATTACCTATCATTAATCCTAACCAAATTGTTCTCCAAAAATACAAAGAAAATAAGAACAAAATCTGGTTTGGTGGGGAAATTACCGGAGAGAGAGGTTGCAAAAATAGAGGCATCCGAGAGAAGAAGCATTTCGAAGAAGCCTCGCCATCATATTCAAAGGCTTCCATCAAACCCAAAAATGTCATTGACCAAAAAGAAAATTTTTAAAAAAAAGACGAAGTACAGGAAAAAAGTAAATAAAACATAGAAATTAAGCACTTTATATTAGAAATTTCTGTTTGCCTCATATTGTTCAGTTTGCTGCATAGAAATAAATCTTTCAAAGGCCCTTTAGAAACGCATCAATACTTTCGCACATCCCAATTCAAAGGGCTTCTATGCATTTTAAAAAGGAAAAAAAAAAGATAAACACATAAGAAAATAAACAGAGGGGGCAAAGGGAGGTCTTGTAGAAAAGTTACCTGAACTGACGGAGGATAAACAGTTTCTTGTAGATTTTTTTTTTAAAAGATGAAGAGCAACCACATCAAAAAAGCCACCTGATTTGAAAAGGGTAAGAAAAATAAGGAACAATAATATAAAAAAATAATCTGATTTGAACGGAGAATGAAGGAGCTTTCTGAGAAAAAATATATATAACGAAGGAGAATAAATTTGGGAAAAACAAAGAAAAGTCCCAAGCCTTGAGCTAGAAATGATGCTGGCCACACGCTTTGGAGGATCTAGCACCAGGTTCTGAAATCTCCATCTCCTTCTTTTCATTCAATTTTTTATTCTCTTCCCCTTTGGCATTGAAACTAAGAGTAAGGAAACTACAAACTTACAAGAAAATAAGCAAAGAGCGAGGAGGCTTAAACGTACTGAAGATTTTGGCATTATAATCTTGGAAAGGAAAGGCAGGAAAGAAAAGCGGCGGCGGCGAGGCTTTGGAAAGGAAAGTCAGGAAAGAAGTATTTTGTGTGTCTAACCCTAAGCTGACAACCCGCGCTTCGCGCGAAAAAAAAAAATACTGAAGGCATGCTTATGGCACGTGACGACGACCAAAAGAAATGAACAGTAACGCCTTTGGCTCTTAGAGTGTTATGTTAATAAAATTTTGGGATGGACTTACTCTTGTAGACCAGTTCCCCAAGTAAATGTGCTATCTGTATTATTATTGGTTCCTTTTAGAAAAGTACAAAGCTTTTAAAGTGTATAGTATATTGGTCTACAAGAACAAACTAAACCACGAATTTGCCTTGCAAAATTCATGCCACTCTCTTGGAATTTGTATTAACCTGGTTAGAATCAGAAAGCAACCTTATGCGGGCATGTACGGAGAGAGGTCACTGAACGTTAGTATAACGGGAAAGTAAGTGGAAAACAAAATTATTTGAAAAAGGTTATACTTTGTTGAGCAAAGATTTGTGACGACTAAGGACCAGGTTCATGCAAAAACTCTCTCTCTCTCTCTCTCTCTCTCTCTCTCTCTCTAATAGAAACAATATAATTTCATTGCATAAAATTGTACTAATGGCAGAAAATAATTAAATGACAAACAATACAAAATAGATTTGGAAATCAACAAGTACAACAAATTAACAAAAATAGCATTGTAAACCTCGAACAATCTTCCAATTTTGAAATTGTAAGTTGGAACCATTGTTGCTAGTGTTTCATATTTTGGTGCAAGTAAAATTGAATTTGAGTGGTCTGTTGACATTTAGAAAAGTTAGAAATAGTGAAAGTATTCCACGGGAAATTACGGTAAATATCTACGAATTTTATTATGAAATCTGAAGGAATTACACGAAATTTTTAATAGCTCTAGAAAAATCCATTTTGATATTTTAGCCTATTTTGGATATGTCTCTAGGCAACTTCATAGTACTGGACTTTTTTTTTTTTTTTTTTTTTGCATGCTATAAAATTTGTTTCATACAACTTCATAGGATTCGAGCTACAGCCTCTCTCAAATGTAAACTACAATTAATCTTTTAATCTGTACCATAACTATTTTTTTTTTTTTGCCCCCTCTCTGTATGTGTGTGTGATTGAATTCCACTTGGTAAAAGTAAGGGGTTTGGCATGAATTTCTACTAGTTTTTGTTAACCGAAACAAAATTTAAGACGAAGAACTTGGCTTCCAAGCCATAGCTTAAGATGTAGGAAATGAGAACTCATGAGAACTACAATTAAATGTATGCTAGCTTGTAGATCAGCTTCCCAAAAGCACCGACCAAAATCACTATGTAAAGATTAAATTGCAGATCAGCTTTCCAAAGGCAACATATCCCCTCATCCATCATTGATAATTATGCTTACCTTAAAAGAGTAATTGTAATTTTTAAGCCCTCAAAGTATAGAAGTATCTTTGAGACAAGAATTTTTCCATCATACCGAATTGTAAGTTCAGATTTTTTTTTTTTGGGTGATTTCATAAGAAGAGGAGATGGTCGAAATTTTCTTGAAATTAAAATGTAAACCAAGCAAAAACGATCTTGAGGTTGTTTAAATTGTAGTTCTAACCTCAACAATAGCTGTCTTTGTAGCAAGTTAGCTGCAAGATCCAATTTAAAACTTCTATAAACAAACTGCATCAGCATAATCTGTGATTGAAGACATTGTTGATGCTTACTCAATAGGGAAAAAGATATTTTTGTGAAGACAATTTGTAACTACAAATGTTATCATCTTTATGGGGTCATTATTCATCCCATTCATGTAATCAGCACTAAGAATTGGCTTTTTCATACAAAACCCATAGATCCTTAAAATGGATATCAAGAAAGAACTGCAAGTTTGGTCCCATATCTTGGGATGTGCATAAATATGGTCCCTTTTACTGAGAACAAAGTCAATCATCTATATTTTGGAAATGAATTAGTTGCCTTAAAATTTGGACACATACAATACTCTCAAATTTACAAGTTTACCTAGTGTACTAATGCGATTGATGATTGAATAACAAAGACTTTTACAAGTGCTAAAAGAAAATTAAAAATTTTATATGGATGCATATAGGATAAAGCATATCTAAATAAATTTATCATTTACAAAAAAAAAGTTGAGAAAAATTCCCCAACTTCATTTTTCCTCTTTTGGCAAATAATAAGATTTTCATGGCAATTTTATCTTGTGCACATTGTAATAAAATTCACCATAGTGCTCAACAAGTTTTCTTGCTTTTGTGAGAACAACAAAATTCTATTGTTTGACAAAATCTAAAAATTGGCACTAAGCACGTTTCTAAAAAATAAATAAACTCTTTTTTTTTTCATTTTAATAAAGGGATGCAATGACAGCAAATTTAAGTTATTCTATGGGAATTTTGTTTTACAACAAAAGAAAAAAAAAGATACTATGGTTTTTCTAGGTGCCTCTTTCTCCTATTATTAGAGTTTTTACACCTATCCATTCAATTCTAAAAGCAGCTTCATGTTTTTCACTTTCAGTGTTTCTTTTTGACTTTTTTATTATCCTTAAATCGATAAAAAGTATCTTTCCGTTCATGGTATTCGTCTGTCTTCCTCATTATACTCTTTTAAATTTGTCATCAAATCTATAAGCACTTATATTCTCAATTTGTTTAGAAAATTCTTGCCCATTTTATATTTACTTTTTCAACATTGGAAATGCTTATTTTGTGCTGTTTTTTTCAATTTGATTTGGTTTTGTCCTTTTATTGGATTATTGATTTTATTCACCAAGTTTACAATACATTATTATTGACCAATGAAAAGACTATTGCGGGTGTTAAAAGAAATTAAAAATTTTAAGTGAATACATATAGGATAAAGTATACGTAAATAAAATTTTATTTAAAATAAGAAATAAAAGAATTTCTGAGAAAAATTGCACAATTTTATTTTTCTTTTTTCGTCAAATAATAAATTTTCCATGATAAATTTTTCTTTTGCACACTATAATAAAATTCACCACAGTGCTCAGTAAGTTTTCTTGCTTTTATGGGAACTCTATTGTTTGACAAAATGAAAAAAAATTGGCACTAAGCACTTCTCTAAAAAAATAACTATTGTTTAACAAAATGAAAAAATTGGCACTGAGCACTTCTCTGGAAAAATAATTTTTTCTACTAGAGTAATGCAATGATAGCAAATTAATTTCGTGCATAGGAATTTTGTCTTATAACAAAAGAAGATAATATTATGGTGCTTCCAAGTACCTCTTTGACCTATTAATAGGGTTTTCTACACCTATCCATGCAATTCCATATATAGCTTGATGTATTTCACTATTAGTGTTCCTTTTTTCACTTTTGTATTATCCTTAAATCTATAAGAAGCAATTTTCCATCTATGGTGTTCATCTGCTTTATTCTTTATACTCTTTTGACTTTGGTGTTAAATCTATAAGCACTTTTGCTTGATTTGTTTAAAAAAGTTCTTGCCCATAAAGAAGCAATTTTTCCATCTATAGTGTTCATCTGCTTTATTCTTTATACTCAAGTTAAATCTATAGGCACTTTTGCTTGATTTGTTTAAAAAAGTTCTTGCCCATTTTATATTCACCTTTTCAACCTTGGAGATACTTATTTTGTGCTACTTTTTCAATTTGTTTGTGTTTTTCCTTTTACTATATTCGATTACTTATTTTATTCAAAAATCATATTTTAATATGGTTTAATTATCCTTTGAACACTTAAGATGCTCTTTATATGTAATTACATATACAATGTATATAAGATTATATACCTATATCAATTTAAGCTCGCAATCAATGAGCTATAAATAAAAAAGACTAGGGGAAAAGCCTGCGCAATGCGCAGGAATGAGTACCTGTGTTGTAATTTGTTAAGCATCATAAGATTAAGAAAGTAAAAAATACTATCAATATTGGTAAGAAAATGAGAAAGTATAGTGATTTTTAAATGCACAAATAGAATCAAACACATTAATTTTGTTTAGTGGAGAAAAGTAACCAAATGGTCATTTAATCACATAATCATAAGTTAGTAGGAATTTTCACAAAATTTACGAGCAAACATTGACAAAAATTTGAATCAGTTTCGTCATTGCAATTATAATTATTAGAAACAAAATCAAACCATATTTTGCAGTACTTTCCTTTGTTACTAAAGGATTATGAAATTTCAGTACAATAATAAATTCAGCATGCTACAAAGAAATTGATCCTCCACAAACAATTCGAGACAACTTCCATTTGCTATCATGAAATTCTAACTGAATATGAGGCGAATTGATCTTGCAAATGTTATTCTTTTGTAATATTTTATCCCAACCCTATCAATAAAAGCAGAAAGTCATAATCAATCCACTTATATTAAAATAAGAGAAATTGAAGGAATATAAGATCTTAACGAAGGAGCTAAAGATGTAAGAGTAAAGTATAATTTATCAAATAAAAATCTACTGATATATAAGGTACAGTAAATAAGGTAATTTTCATCTTAGACCAATGCCAATTGCTATCAGCTCAAAAAAAAAATTACTAAAAGATAATATTATATCTCTGCAAATTACTACTTACAATATCACATCACTAAAGCAAAAATTATTATGAATCAAGAACATAAGGTATACAAATAAGAAAGAGAAAAAGAAAGAATTGCAGACCTTCAATAAGAAGAAACATAGAGTAAGAAGAGGAAAAACTAGATAAAATAAAAGAAGATAGATAAAGTTATAAACTAAGATGAAGGAGGAACAAATAGCCGGTTACAACCATAACAGCTATTCGGGCAACTTAAAGGACCGATGCACATTAATTTGTAACTATTGCAATTTAAACCATTCTTGAAGTAAGCAACATGGAGGTTACAATTGGAATTTTCCAAACAATAGCTAAAGGCCAAAAAAAATAAATGAACAAGCAAGAATGCAGCCAGCCATTGCACCAACCAAAAAAATAGTGTGCTGCCAGCACTCCAAATTATTAAACTACCCTTGGATGAG